CAATTTCCAATGTCATGATCATCAAAAAACTTCGGTGGTAAAGCCTTTTGTGCCGCTTCACGTGTCCCCTTTCGCAACGCAATAGGCAGTTCCACCGTGTCAGATGAGCTTGCACCACTGCCTTGTTGCTCCCCCTGCACTTGCTCCTCCTCCTGCACAAGTGGTTGCCGCCGTGAATAGACCAGACGTGTGTCAGATGAGTTATGCACTTGTGGCACTTGTGGCTGCGGTCGAGAGTACACTAGGGGAATATTCTGCCACCGATCTGGAACAGGGAGCTGGAGATTACCAATCTGAATGGAACCCACTGTTGGCTGGACCTGAACCTGCACATCACCATCAGTGAGAGTACCAACCGGAATTGTACCCACAATTGGCTGGACTTGAACCTGCACATCATCATCAATGTTAGTGCCCACAGAATCCTCCTGAGTGTGAGACACAGCCTTCTCCCCCTCTTGACCATCCTGCACAGAGTGTAAATGGTCAAGCTCTTGAAACAACACACTTAGATCTGTTGGCTCACCATAGAATGGCTCAGACTCCCTGAAGGTTACATCCATACTGACAAACCTGCGTTTCTCTGAGGGACACCAACATTTATATCCCTGCTGACTAGAAGAATAGCCCAGAAAAATACACTTCACTGCTCGCGGATCAAGTTTTCCAATAGAAGGACGGTGATCACGAACAAAACAGGTACTGCCAAACAATTTTGGGGGAACAACAAACTTAGTTTCTCCATATACTAGCTCACACGGAGACATGCTTAGTATTCTTGATGGTGTCCGGTTGATCAGGTATGTGGCTGTCATCACTGCTTCACTCCACAAGAATTTGGGCACATTCATCGTAAACATCAATGACCGAGCAACCTCAAGAATATGCCGATTTTTCCTTTCCGCCACTCCATTTTGAGGAGGGGTGTCTGGGCACGAAGTTTGATGAAGAATACCTTGATCAGACAAGTAGGCCCCAAATGTGTTGTTCACATACTCTGTCCCATTGTCAGTCCTGATCACCTGCACCTGCACCTGAAACTGATTCTTCACCAAGGCATGGAAATTCTGAAAACAGCTAAACACCTCATCTTTGTGACGCATCAAATAAATCCAGGTCATACGAGAATAGCAATCAATGAATGTCACAAAGTATTTCATTCCATTCATTGATACAACTGGGCTCTTCCATACATCCGAATGAATAAGCATAAAAGGAGATATGCTCCTAAGCCCCTTACTCACATATGAGGCTCGTGTGTGTTTGGCATATTCGCAAGCATCACATGTCAACTTGCCCTTGCATATCCCACACATAACATCCGGAAAGATTCTACTCATCTTATAAAAAGATGCATGTCCCATCCTACAGTGATGGATCATCGCCTCCTTCTCCTTGTCCTCCATGGTCGCAGCACACACCAAGTCCGGCTGCACCTCCTGGTCCATGTACTAGAGCCCCCTACGCCTGGTGCCAGTCCCAACTGTCTGGCTTGTCTGTCGCTCCTGAATCACGCAACCAAATTTGTCAAGGATCACACGACAGTCAATTTGATCAATTAGGGCACTAAAGAAGACCAAATTGACAGGAAAAGCTGGCACATGTAAAACCGAGGATAGGGAGATGGTCGGAGCGCACTTGACTGTGCCAACCCCTACGACAGGCTGGTTTGTGCCATCAGCAGTTTGCATAGTGCCCGTGTGAGACTGAGGGTGCTTAGTGTAAGACTCAAACACGCAAGATTTACTAGCAACATGCTTAGATGCTCCAGAGTCGAGAACCCACTCTGGAGCACTCCCATTAGAAGCAAGAGATGCCTGTTCTGGATTACCTTCATCAGTGGAGGCCCAGAGAGCAAAGTCTCCATAGTCAACATCATCTGCATCTTTGCCTTTTGACGTCCCAGTGTCTCCTGCCACTGTCATGTGAGCCCTCTGATCCCCTGAGTGTCCTGAGTAGCCACCTCTGCCCCTAGAAGCCTGACCCCTTGAGGTCCCTGAGTATCCACCTCTGCCTCTAGCACTCCTGCCTCTGCCAGTTCCCCCTCCGTTGTATCCCCTGCCTCTGCCACGAGTTGGACACGCCCACTTCCAGTGACCTGCCTCCCCACAGATATGACATTTGTTGGGATCGCTCCACTCCATGCGCTCAGTGACTGCAAATGTCAAAGACGGCACAGCCTTCATGTCTGCATGCTCAAGAGATAGCCGCACCTCCTCTTGAGACATAGCAGCAATAGTCTCCTCAATAGAGGGCAGGTGCAACAGGGATGCCCTCCTGCCATGAAAACAACCTCTAAGCCCCTCCAACAGTTTCAGCACACGCCTGCGTGCAATCCACTTGCGCCCTGACTCGATGCAAGCCGCATCTTAGAGTTCCAGAGGGTCGCAGTTATCCTGCTCTGCCCACAAAGCCTGCAGCTCTGCCACATATGTCATCACTGACATGTCGTCGCCTTGATGCAGCCGACTGATCTTCCCCTCAATCTGAGCAATTAGCATGACATTGCCCTTACCTGAGTACAAGGTGGACAGAGTCGTCCATATCGCAGCGGATGTGGATAGCCCCTCCACAGAGCGTCCAATGGGGGGCACCACCGAGTTCAACAACCAGCCAATGAGCACAGAGTTTATGACCTTCCATCTTTTTCCCTCCACAGTAGTCTTGTCTCCTGGTTCAGCAACAACACCCAACAAGTGCCCATCAAGCTCCTTCTGTTCCACAGCCAGCAACGCCCTCCGGGACCAGCTCAGATAATTGGTAGCCCCCTCTAACTTCATGTCCATGGACGGCAGTTCGATCTTCTGAGCCACTTCCTGTCGAGGAACGATGGCCCCAGATTTCGACTCCTCGAAGATCTTAGCAAGCTTCTCGAAAGCATCAGCAATGCTTCGAGTCGAGCTTGGTTTATCTCTTGATTTTGTAAAAGCTTGTGTTTACTGGGGTGGTACCAACACTATTTCGAAGTACCAAGTACCAACACAATTGGGTTTTTCTCAGGATTTTGGGTTGCATGAATTAATCTCTCTC